GAGAGAGAGAGAGAGAGAGAGAGAGAGCTCTTTGAAAACAATAAGATTAAGACATGAAATGAGGCCAAGGATAGTGGGGTTAGAGGTGAATAACAAGGCTAGTTATTTGCTAGCTTATTGAATGCAAGTTGTATATTAATAATAAATGCTATTTTTAATTCATCGAATATGCTAATTCAATAAATTTATATCATAGTAAATTTGCTTTTAAGCGCAAAAAAACCTACAGTATTTAATTATATTTAGCATTAATATAATGTTTATTAAAATTCTTTGAGGTATTTTTGTAAAAATAACCAAAAAAAAATGCAACTAAACTTGATAACATTAGTAAACTAAAAAACAAACCATGCGCACAATTTATTGATTAACAATTAATTTTATTAGATGACATTGTTATATAGCATAAAAACATAAATGTAAATCTCGATCAAAACTGTTTCAATCGGAAACCGAAACACTTGTCGTGAGAATTACGCGAAACAGTGTTTTCAATCCAATTCAAAAAGTGCGAGACCTGTGTATAAACCCCATTGGGATCGTTAGGGTTAGCGCACTGGGAGGGCCCAGTGCTCACCACACCTATCTGGGTATACCTGCCCCTCACCCTCACCACCAGCGGCCCACCGGAGTCGCCAAAACAGGGCGACGTCCGGTCGGCGCCCTGACATAGCATGGACTCCACGATAGGGAAGGGCAGGTGATTGGCCGCCCGGCACCGGTCGTCGCCGATCAGGCCCACGTCGGTGAACTTTAACATGGGCGACGATTTACCACGCTCGGTCACGCCCCAGCCCGAGATGCGCGCTTTGCCCACGTACTCGTACGGCCGACCACTCCGGCCCCGCAGCGGTAGACACACGCCATTCACTATACCGCCCGACCTATGGGTTAGCGTCAGTGGCGTGGCTGTCAGGTTGGTGTTGGCGGTAGGGGTTGTGGTAGTGGTGGCGGTACTGGTGCTACTGGTTGTACCGGTGGGCAGCCGTACGAGCGCCAAGTCGTTGGCGAAACCGCCTTTCAGTCCGATCCACTTCTCGTTGGCGACGACACAATCGGCGGACACGCGCTGCACGTCTGACCCGTTGTCTGTCTTACGGACGGCGCCCGCAGTCACCTCTACGGCCACCACATAGGGGTCGCCCGTCCGCTCGTTGGTCACGCAGTGGGCGGCCGTCAGTATCCATCGCTCGTTCAGTATTGAACTATATGTAGAAAAATAAATGCACATGTACAATTATGTGTATATTATACAGAGAGTAGTCTGTATTTGCGTAATAGGGTTTAGGAAAGGAAGGTTGTTTTTATCATGATGTTTGTTGTGGTACATACCCGCCGCATATCATTACCCTATTGTCCCGTCGGCGCATTCTGAGCAGCACCTGATAGGGGAACTGCCCTCTGGACGCTTCGTTGCCGCCCACTATCTTGTCGGCCACCGCCGGGTCCTTAACGGTGGACAGACCGCACGTGTCCGTCACGATCGACTCGTTGGTCAGTTTGTTGCGGATTTTGGCGTACGATTGCTGTCCATTAGACGCGGCAGACGTCCAGTCCTTTACGGTATCGCAAATGATTTGCTGTAATAGCATAAATGTGATGATCGTTGCGATTAATAGCGAGCGTTGTTTGTATTTGATTTTGCAATAGTTCATGGTAAGATAATTTTATATTTTTTATTTAAACTTGGTTTAAGTAATTATTATGATTGTTTTTAGTTTGTAATTTGTTTTAACAATATGTTTTAAACTCTATTTAGCACATAATAGCCAACAATAACTGTTATAATTATAATTACATTTTTAATACTTAATAGTGGAGAGAGAGAGAGAGAGAGAGAGAGAGA